AAATTTTTTTGCAGAGATGTATAATTACATTAATTACATTTGAGTTAATGAGGAGATAAGATTACAAACAACCGTATGATCTGATAAAGCATTTCAGTGGATGATACCTGACGATTTTCCTGGACTGTGGTGCTTGCGTGTGCCGACGTGTGGTGTGTGCCACGAGTTACGATCAACTGTGTCGACCGAACTATTTCTTGTATTAATTGCTTGTCGTTGCGTGCTCTGTCTCTTTGTACAGAAACCCCACATGCTAGGTAGTTATCAGGAATAGTAGAAATGAAAAACGTTTTGGGAGTAAGACACATGTATGGTTCTAAAGATATGATTAATCAAGGTAGAAAACGAACGCTATAGTAAAGAAAACCAGCTTTGTTTATGATCTAGGTGCTCCGTATAGCCAATCTCTGTCAAGGAAGGGGAAATTTTCAAAAGAGGAGTGGGGTAGTCAATTCTGTGGCCAATGAGCTGGATGCGGCAACAAGGAAAAGATGGACCATACAGTATATTTTTGGATGAAGGCTACCCCCATTGAATCGGATTCCTACCATGACCCTACTGCCTTCTAATTCACAGGAGATCGAGTTGGAGATATTCTGTATGAAACATTCACACTCAGCTTGCTATTAGGTTCTTCGCACAATCTCGTGATCAAGAAGAAGACGTCTAGCAGAAATAGAGTGATTCCTGCCTTGATCTGTGCTGCATGGTGATGAATGTTACCCTTGCTATGTAATTATATATGCAGCATCCTGCTTTAGGATTGTTTTTTATATAATTTTGTCATTCTTTTGTCGTCGTCACCAACAATATCATCAACACTATAATTGTCCTTTTGCTCGTCTCAGTTCTCTAACAACTAGCATTATTGATAATTAATAGTACAAAGGAATATGATTTTGATAGTTCTTCCACAGTGGTTAGATATAGATGAATGGGATTAATTTACAGGAGGTAATTAAGGACAACTAGCAAAGGATTCTTGATATGGACAGATGATAATAATTATTTTACAGGAGTATCGCAATTCTACAGGCAGGTAAATTTCACATGGATGCTCATTTGATGCTGGAAAATTTTCCATGGTTTAGAAAATGAAAACGTTAAAGAAATTTTGAACCATGGAACTGGTAAGCAATAGACAAACACCATATGGGAATTATGGCAATGCCACTATGGGCAGTTCAATTTTTATCTAGTGACAAACCGAAGAAGCAGATGGATTGGACATGGGGGGTCCTGGAAGGTGATATAATCTGCATGTATTTTTCTTTCTTTGAAGGATAGAGTGGAAGTATGACACAAATGCCATCACCAACAGGGATGTCACCCGATGCGCTCCCTAAAACATTAAAGGGCAAACCTGGAATCAGCGGCCCAAACCCAATCATGTAAGGATTCTCAATTGAGTTCTCGAGTAATATCTGGGTTAATGAGGGTAGGGTGTGCTTTTAGTCTCTCTCATTTTTATCGTGTTTTCTTTACTTATTTATTTAACTTTTTTATCGTGTTTTTTTTTTAACTTATTTATTTGAATTTTTTGTCTTAATTTATCTCTTTGTATTTAATTTGTGTCTCAATTGAATCTTTTCATTAATTTTTAAACTAATGGTGTTAGAACACACCATTAGTCTCATATGATTAGAATACATATCAACTTTTTTTTAAATCTAATTTCGTCCCTCTATTCTTTTTTTTTAACCAAAATTAAATAAATAAATTTTCAAAAAAAAAATGTGAAGATAAAATTAATTTTTATCTAAAATATTATTTATGGTTTTAAATTTATCTGTATAACAATAAGCACATTTTGGTAATAAAATTAAATATTTAAAATATTTTTTAAAATGTCAAAAAAATTAAATTTTTGAATGATATTTTTAATTTTGTAATACCTCAAAAAGAGTCTATTTAAGCTTTTTTTTTTTTTTTTTATCTTTTTTCAGATATATCTAGTCATTCTCTCTAAAATTCAAAAAAAAAAAAAAAACTAGAAAAAAGTTCCGATAAAAATACTTTTTTATCCAAAATATTTTTTATGGGTTTTCAACTTATCTCTATTATAGTAAGCAAATTTTTAATCTAAAATGAAATATTTTAAATTTTATACTTTTGAATGGTATTTATAATTTATCATACCTCGAAAGAGTTTATTATAATTTACTTATTTTCACTTTACAAATTTCTTAATTGGACTCAAAAGTAAGATTATAAATTTTATTAAGATTTTTTTTAAATATTACACTATAAGAAAATCGAAAAATGGCGACATAATTTTTCATCATTAAATCAAAATCTTCATTATTTATTTTTAGTGCGGGATTTGCGACAATATCAACTTAGTAGCTAAAACAATCGTTGTTATTTACGTAGCGACGGTCTATCCGTCGTTGATGTGTAGAATTTTCATCACTAACTAATGACGGAATTGCGGTCGCTAAAATTTGTCACAAATCGTCACCAATACTTGATTTTTATCACTAATTCGATTGTTAATCCATCGCTAGACAAAGAAATTTTTTTAATAAATTAATAATCATTTAATGTTAATGATAGTAGCAATCAATTAAAAATTACTTCTCATTGAAACACGATATATTATTTAATAAAATTAAAATGATATAAATTAAAATTAAATAAATATATAAATGCGTTAAAATGTATAAAAAATTAAAAACCTTTAAAAAAAAGAAAAAGAAATTTAGTGTTCATCGTCATTATTTGCTACATCATCTTTCTCGTCGTTGGAACCAAGTCGTCGAACAAAACAAATAAATAACAAACGAGTGAATTAATGATTTTAATATAATATATGAAAATATAAAAATAATTATCACATGTAAATTATATTACTTATCAATTATTAATGATCCAAAGGGTCCCTCCACTATCAAATCCAATACATTTTTTTAAAGTTGAGGAAACCATCAAGAGGACATCTCGTAGCCGGGGGCACTACCTCAAAAGTGGTTAAAAGACCGAATACATTTTCATTTTTTTAATTTTTTATTTTTTTCAAATTTACTTGTTTAAATTTGGTATTAAAAAATGACACATGTCGTAATTCATTGACACTAACTAAGTGATTTAGCACCTTAGCTTAAAAAATTAATGGAAGAAAATAATTAAGACATAAATCAAATATAGATGTACGAGTTTAAGACAAAAAGTAATAGGAGGATACAATTGAAAAAAAAAAAGATGGATTCCTACAACTATTAATCCAATAATATTTTATTTCAAAAAAATGCATGTTTATATATATATGAAAGAAAAATCATTGTGCAGGAATAACTTCTTATTTTTGTAATCGTAGAAAATCTGGTCAGTCAAGATAATATAATTCTTTTATCTACGCCTTCAATTACTAACTACAAAATCTTATTTATTGTTGTTAAAAAAAAAAGCAGAATTAGAAAATAACTTTTTATTAAATATGATCAATAATTTTAACCTGGAAACAGAGATATTATTTAGGTTCCTAAAAAATTCTCTTGGAAGAGGTTTTAAAAGCGTTGTATTTTTATTGGATGCTTGAGTTATGATATTTTCATCCAAAAAAATTATAAGAAAATAACTTAATTTATATTATATTAGAAACTATCTTCTAGGTATCCTGCAGTTTTTTAATATTTATTATAATTAAATTTCCAATAGATCCTATATTATTCAAATTAACATAAAGTTATAATTGTAGATTCACGTGACTCATTAATTTAGTATTATGTTTTAAACCAAACAGATTTTTCTACCACTTTAAAAGCACGTGTTAAAAAACAATATATCCTTTCTCGTACTAAAACTTAACACCAATATTATCATTATTATTTGAAAAACCAATAAACAAAAGACAACGATAGTTGGTTTTTCCTTTTTTTCCTAAAGTGTTTGGTTGTGTGGGGGATTTTGTAGCCATTGGGAGTCAAATATTGTTTCTGAAAAACGAAATTGTCAATTGGGCTAAACATGCATATGTGAAGTCTTGAGAACTTTAACATTCTATATTCTAGGAGGGGGTTTGTTTTTCTCGAAAGAGCCTCTTCCATAGATTCATCACTCTGGATTTTTTTTTAATTTTTTAACAATAAAGAATATTCTTAAATCAACTCGCTTGTGTATGGAGATTAAATTTTTTTCTTTAAAGACTTTGGATTAACAAACATTTCATATTAATTTAATGCATTTAAAAAATAAATTCTTATAGTTGATAATTTCAAAGTTTGAACTTAAAATTCAAACACTCTGTAATCATCCTACCAACTCCATTGTTCGAAGAAAAAAAAATGCCTTCCCACACAAAGACTACATTTTACAACATTTTTTTTTGTTTAATGATAAAAATATTTTCTAATCAATTTAAGCATTAATCAAAAATGTTTTTTTTTTTACTGATTTTAAAAGTACACTCTTTACATCAATTTAATATATTCACATAGATTTAATATATTTATCTCCGCCTTAGTCTCAAAATTTACACCCAAAAAATAATAATAGAAAGAAATGAACTTACTTAATCATTAAACCAACCTTTTGAATTGCCATGCTTTTTGATTCTATTATTTATGATACACGTACATAAATAGTATAAGGTAAGGTGGTGGTTTATTGATAAGTAAGGATTAATTCACAGATTACGTTTAGAGTTTAAATTTTTTTAATTAATATTTTAAAAATTTATTTTCAAAATATCGTGCAGGAATGTAATTTAATAACGCTTAGAGAGAAATTAGCCTTGGAGTGCCTCAAAACTCGTCCAAAAAGCACTTTATTGTTTGGAAAAATAAAATTATATAAATACCCCTACCATGCTCGCAAACTAACACCCCAGCTATACACATACCCATACCCATACCTACCGCTACCCATTCCTTGACCTTGATACATGTACACGCCACACAAGAGAGTACCCGCTCCCTCCTCTCCAACAACATTTTTCACTCTTATCAAAAAATTAGTCTCGCTTCCTCAAAACCCCAGTTCTCACTTGCCTCCTCTCTTACATGGGCAGCCTCATCTTAGACGCTCTCAATGTCCACGTTGAAGGCCAAGGGGACAAAGTTGTGGTGTTTGCCCATGGATTTGGCACTGACCAATCCACTTGGCAACGCATTCTCCCTTTCTTCACACCATACTATCGTGTAATTCTCTTTGATCTTGTATGTGCTGGCAGTGTCAATCCTGATTATTTCAATTATGGACGCTACACCAATCTTGAAGCTTATGTTGATGACTTGCTCAAAATTCTGGACACTCTCCGCGTTGACCGGTGCTTTTATGTGGGCCACTCTGTTTCTGCTATGATCGGTATTCTGGCATCCATTAGACGTCCAGAGCTCTTCATCAAGCTTATTCTCATAGGAGCATCGCCAAGGTAAAAGCTTTATACACCCAATAGTGCGTTTACACAAAAAAAAGGTTGTGTTTTTCATTTCTATACACATTGACTTGATGTTGTTGTGTGCGCTTGATTAGTCAATGGTTTATTTAAATTTACCTGAGAAATTGGTTTATTGATCAGAGTTTTTTCTTGAAATTTATGCGATCAGGTTTTTGAATGATGAAGATTACCATGGAGGATTTGAGCAAGAAGAAATCGATTCTGTTTTTGAAGCAATGGAGGCTAATTATGCGGCTTGGGTCAATGGTTTTGCACCATTGGCAGTGGGAGCTGATGTACCAGCTGCTGTCAGAGAGTTTAGCCGGACCCTTTTCAATATGAGACCAGATATAACATTATTTGTGTCGAGGACCGTTTTTAATAGTGATCTAAGGGGAATACTTGGCCTGGTAAGAGTACCATGTTGTATAATTCAGACATCCAAGGATGTCTCTGTCCCGGCATCAGTGGCTGAGTATCTGAAGAACCATTTGGGTGGCAAAAATACTGTGGAAATGTTAAGAACCGAAGGGCACTTGCCCCATCTAAGTGCACCAGCTCTGTTGGCCCCGGTCATCAGGCGAGCCCTCTCACGGTGACTGGTTTTTGTTTGAGTATGGGGTTGGGGTCAATTAGGCTAGGTGCTAGTTTAGCACAGCAGCTAGAGTGGGGTCGTAGATAATGTTGATTCGGGTGGAGATGTTGACACCTGGTGAATAACTTGTGGACATTAGTCCTGTGATCTTTAAGAAAGGATAAGATTAGCCACGTGATAGTCACGTGATGACGTATGCTTTTTTGTCTTCCCCTTTTTCTACTTGTTTCTATTGCATTTTATCTTTAACTTGACAAAAGCAAGTCGAAAGAAATGAAATGCAATTAATGTTTGTACTTTGCGTACTCTAAAATTTCCAAAAATTTTGATTGACTTTCCTCCTCATGCAAGAAAAATCGCCACTTATGTGCATCTTTTTTCAGGGTAAGAATTCAGTGTTTGATAGCCAAGATCCAAATTATGAGTGACCTACCACTTGATGGGTCTTGGGCCAGAGAGATTCTTATCCTTAGCTGTTGTTTTATCTTATTTTGCAGGCCGTCCATTGCTATAAATTTTATTCCTTTGTTGGTTGTTAATGCGTGGATTTGTACCCCCTCCTTTTGGCAATTTCTTCTTTTGGAAGAGTTTCAATCTTTTTGTATTTTGGATCTTCTGTGGTGAGGAGAAGCTAATTCGAACATCACGTACTTCTTAACAACTCTACTTGTCTATTTGAGATCGTAAGGCCAGAATGAGTGAGCTAAAGGGAGAACAACAATGACTTAAAAGACCTTTTGTTTGTGGATGATGTAGAAATTTGCAGCATCCAATAACTAACCATGACAAATTCAATTTTGCAATACGTTAAAGAATGGCTTGGAAGGGGTCTCTTTCTTTCCCTAGAAGTAAAAAGCCAAAAGCTTCCCCTACTCGATCAGTTTCGCAATCCTTACGTATTCCATCTCAACAACATTGTACCCTTTAGAATTTTTGAAGATTTTTAGAAAATACTAGGTAGAATTTCTTGCAAGACACTATAAAAAGTTTTAAATGAATAAGAACGAGTGGAACTTCGTACAATTGAAACTCAATTGAAAAATGATTGTCTATCAAGCAAGTATCAACTAAGTAATCACACAGAATTTTCTGAAAGTTAAGAGAGAGAGAGAGAAGCGAGTGGAACAAAAGGGAAAGAATGGAAATGCCCGCAGACAATAATGCTTTCCTACGATGCCATTTTCCCTTTCAATAATATTTCAAGAAAGAATACTACACGAGGCGTGGAAAAAGCATTCCAGCATTTTATGCTTTGGCAAACTTTAGCAAGGGTAACTTTTATTATGTGGGAAAGATGTCAGCCTAATTAGTTGATCACCATTGTCCTTTTTGTCTCACGAATTGATTCCATTCTCATCCTTCAGCTAATTATTTATTTATTTTGAACACAAGGGAGTACAACAGTATCTACTCAGTACCATTGCTACGCTTCAATTTTCAAGGATTCCACTAACTGCAATGAAATGATGAATGATTCTAGTACAGATGGGAACACTTGAAGCTACCATGACTTCTTTACTGAATTAGAAACAAATAGAAGTATGCTCATTTTTCGAAGAGGCTCCAAAACAAATTACTCTGATGCTACATTACTTATTTTCCGTAACAAAGTGCAAAATCACTCATAACTTGAGGTCATGGAAATAATTTGAGAATTTATAAAATAATAACTTCAAATGCTGATGTCCCTCACCATCGTAGCATTTACAATTACTCTCATTGATCTTCTAAGGATACATTTGGTAAGAAATTGATGGTATTAAATTTTTTTAAGAAGTAATAATTAAGGTTGTTTGATGGAAAAAAAGAGGAGGATAATTAGTAAAGGGAGTTGATCAGACTTAAAAGCACTGAAGTAGAATGGCACGAGCTAGTTTGGGGTCTTTTGGGCATTCCGAAGTGCAGTTCCATTGTATGACTTGGTTTCCTAAATGGGCTTACTACTAAAGTAGTACAAGCAAGGCTTGGCAGAAATTTTTTTATGTATAATCAAGCTCCAGAAGATCGTGACCGCCTATTCTTCACATGTACTGCCACAAAAGCAGTCTGATGCTTTGCAACATTCATAGGCAGGTAGGTGATTGGTGTTCGGAATTTAATTCTGTGGGCCAAACAATACCTTCAGAAGAATTGCTTCTTATCAATTGTGTTCAGAATTGCCTGATGTTCAATATTTACAATGTTTGGAGAAAAAATAACAGAAGAAGCCACGGCGAGTAAGGAGATGGTTGTGAATTTTGTCCATTGGATACAACATAAGACGTTGCCATTGCAGAAGGCACTGTCCAATGTGAAGTATAGTGCTATTTGTAATAACTAGAGATTGCAGTAGTTATTTGATTCTTCAGTTTGTATAGTTCTAAAGATTTGTAATCTTTATGCTTTGTTGTTGCTCTGTTTGGGGCTTGAGCAACCTACTTAGTTGGGTTTTTGGTAAATGAAATTTCCATTCATAAATAAAAAACAAAAAAAAAATAGTGAAGGAGGTCAAAATTTACTCCCAAATAATGCAAATAAGAGGTTGATTTTTAACCTTGGAGGGGAGTTTCTAAGGGAATAGAAGTTTTCTATTTTCTTTTATTTTTTTACCTCATACTTATAGCTCGTTTATCTTTCTTTTATTTAAACCTCATGAATTGTAGCTAATATTTTTTTCATACTTAATTCTAATGATCCCTGTTAATACCCTTAATTTTTAATCCTCTTCCACAAAATATTTTTTAGAAAATATCTACCCTTAAATATTATTCTTGCAATAATTACACATGTTTCATGTTACTCGTGTATTGATTATTTCTTATTTTTTAACCTTCTATCAAAGAATAACCAATGATTACCTTCAAGTACCAGGGCCCATTATTGTGGATCCAGGTACAGCCCAATTTAAACATGAAATAGAATGATTGAGCCTCTTAGCTAATGTGGGCAAGAAATAGTTTTGATAAGGGGATTGGTCTTGAAGCTGTAGGAAGTAGTTTCAAATTATTGGGGGAGCCTTGCCCCTGTCTATCATACAAAATATCAATGGCCATGTCCAGTTCAACACGATACAATAAGAAAAGATCAATAATCTGAGTTGTCACTTCTCAGGCGGCCAGTTTATAGCCGTTCAGAAAAAAGAAAAAGGCTTTCTAGTTTATACACACACAGGATGTTTGGGCCTTGTTCTCAACTTCTCATGGCCCATAAAACCTAGCCAGATCTTTGGGTGGCCCAAAAAATGGGAACGTCATAACGATAAAATGATATTTGACTCTTCTCCACTCATTCGTCTTCATGGAAAAAAGAAAAAACTTTTCGTTTTATAAAGAAAAAAAAAATCGAAGGTTCCTAGGTGGTCTCATCTCTACCCCTTTTCTTTTTCTTTATTTTTTTATTTGTTTATTTGTTCTGCCCTCCATGACCTTATTCTGATCTTTCATTAATGAGCACAATACCAAAACAATTGTCCCCTGGGCCTCAATCAATTAATTTCCTGCAGTGCATAAAAGGATTGATGAGCTGAGTAATAAAATAAATGTAGATCAGACCTTAATTGTCCTGTATTATTATATAATTGAGATTTCTATTTTTCACGGGCCCACATCGTCCTGCTACTCCTGACGTGTTTGATCATTAATAGCATGCTTTAACATTCTTCATCAACGTCGAAGTGTTCATTGAATACTTATTGGCGATCATCTTAGGACCATCAACTACGAGTGTCTGGATTTAAATCTCCTTTTAACATCTCCATCTGCCACTCAAGGTGGTAATCATGCAGCAGCTGGTCCCTTCACCCAGGGACATGTTCACAACACCATGAGTGTTGAACCGAGTAAATAATAGATATGGTCCGTAGATAAAGTGTTCATCAACTCTGCGGCCAAATCAAGCCATGGTTGACGAAGGATAAAGCGAACATATGAATCTTTCCGTTAAAATGAAAAGAGGCAAAAGTTGGTATTTCTCGACCTCAAAAAAGAGGCAACATGCACCAGCCGGGAATCGAACCCGGGTCTGTACCGTGGCAGGGTACTATTCTACCACTAGACCACTGGTGCTGGTTATGGTTTTTGTTTTTCCCAAATATATATATTTGGTAATTATTCACATTCAATTCCTTGTCTTCCTCTTGGAGGAAAATATTCGTTGCTTATTAACCACGGGAAGTTGGTTTGAGACTTTCGTCGGTGAATGGTGCGTTGTTTATTTTTTGTTGGATTTGGGTTCAATATGTAAATATACTCTGTAATAAGATATAACTAGTACCTGTGTCGATAATGTGTGTGTCTTTTTTTAATTTATTCTTTCGATTTTTGTTTTTTCCTTTTTCCCCACTTGCTTTAATCCATCGTTTTATTTTGCTTGTTCATGAATCAATACTCCTTCCTTCCTCCCTTTTTTTTTTTTTTTGGTTACTTTTTATAAATATTGATTTGTTTAAATTGTGATATATGTTTCATTGATCATGTTATTATTCTCATTTGACATGCTTAAAAGGAATGTAATTAAAAACCTAAAAAATATGATTTTTTTTTCTTTTTCACACAGCTCTCGTTCTATTTATTTCATTTGACTTTTGTTGTTGGTTTTTTTTTCATACAACAGACTTCAAAAGTTAGCAACGGTATATATTTTTTCTTTTTATGATGAAAATTACTTGCAAAACCATTCTCAAAATTAATTTAAAATTTTCATATAATTGTGTATAATATGAAATATTGTAGTCGTTTACATAAACTAATCGCATTTACTACGATATGTTTCTTAATAAGAATGAAGATTTTGTGGTTAATGATTTATGTAAGAAAAAAAAACATTTTTCTCCTTATAGATCCTTACAAATTGATTTATGAACCAAGTTTTTCACATTAAGTTCCATATAAACTGAATACGAAGAACAAAAGAGTTAGCTGATCAAATTAAAAACACAAAACTAAAAAAGAATAATTGACACAGTTACAAGGGAAGAAATAGGGGCTTTGCTTACTTTTCGGGAGGTAAACTTATACTTTGCATACA